AATTCCCATTATATCCTTCAGATTGTAAGCTCACAGGCTATCTAACCAAGCACTTTGTATAAAAGAGCTTCAGTGGCTCAGCTTACAGGCAGGACTCTCTTTACCTTTTGTATTTGTCTGTGTATATTGTATGTTCTCCCCTAATCATACAGTATTGCGGAATATGTTGGCGCTTTATAAATGCCAGTAATAAATAAGTAAATGTGTTTTTTTATTATGAAAACAGCCGATAAAAAAGAATGAAAATATTTGTTGAGCTCAATTTTCTACAGATTGCCTTGAGAATTATTTTTTAGAAGTAATACATGTATTCATTAGGCCATTCTGTATTATAGTGTGACAAATGTTTGTTTGTGATGTATAAATTTGAATGTTTAATCAAATGCCTGTCTTAATTTCCCCTGTACTTTGCTTCAGTGTGAGAATACATCCTGCTTCTCATTTCACAAACAATAATTGAATTGTCCGTTAAATGTACTTAATTTTTTTGTAATTCACAACTGTATAGACAACTAAATGAGAGTCCAGAGAATATTTTTTTTATTGAACCACTCATGAATATTGTACTGTAGGTCGTTACTAAATACATTATTTAATTTATTTTAAACAATATAAAGCATAAACAGAGGGGAAAAAAATCAGAAATGCCAATGAAAAAGAATCGCATCTATAATATTCCAGGAGTAAAACTGTTCTGGTTTCATTGTATATTCTACACCATCTGCCTTCACAGAAAGGCTGAGCAGCAATCTTCTCTCGGGGGAAATAGCTGTGGATACGTTATTCAATTAGAAAAGCATTATTGGCCAGCCACCTTGGAGAATTGAGTTGATGATGTTGTGATTATACTGGTCTACACTACTTTATATCCCTGAGACACCATACATTTTTCTGGGTACTTTCTGAAGAGCTCATTTAGCTAAAGGTGAAAAATGAAAAATATGCCAATCTCTGATATTTGACCGGGAAATCAATTGTGATTTTCCTCACTTAACCTCAAACATTCAGATACACTCACAGTGGTACTGTATGAATAAAAATATCACTGGAGATAGGGATACAGTTTAGTATGTGTTTTTGATAAAAGTATGTTATTTAAACTATATGATTTCTTACTTTTCTTTGCATTAACCCTATTTACAAGGAACCTGTTGCATGTGTGATCTTAGCAGTTTCTGTAAGAATACAGAGGGCCGGGTATATGCCGATATTTATGATTTGGTTTTTCATCAAAAGCATAACAAGCTAAACCAAACCCACAAAATGAGCCAAGAAAACCCAAATGGGGAACTAAATAGTCCAATTTGACCCTCCATTAAGGTATGCCTAGACACATCCCTTGAGAGCATTACTAGTCTAGAACCAGCATCTTCCCTGCTGCCATCTTGTCTCAATTCCTGAAAAGCCTCACTTAGCAGGAGTTGATTACAATTTGTATAATTAAATAATAAAAATGACTTAGAAAACTTGAAAATATATGCTTCCTAGTTAAATAATGCAATATCCTTAGTATTTAGCTTATTTAGCTATTTTGAAAGATATTGTGTCCTGGTCAGACACATGAACAACTGCTAACATTGAATAGCGCCATGTAATAATTAAAGGACTATTGCACTCACAAAGGTGAAGAATTGGCAGGCAGAATATAAATCGCTGTATCTGGAGTCTTCTGTGCTCTTGATCCCTGTGTTTACAGTATCATATGTAAAGGAACAGAATGATAGACATAGTGCAAAACAGTATTGTGTATTCAAAACTTTTAAGAGTAATGTTGTACTCACAAACATCCACAGGGTTAAGGCACATCAAACACAGCTTAGCGGCTCCTGGTGGTTGCTGGGAGGAAGCGCCGCAGTGCTGACCGGACCTCCTGGAAATCCATAGCCATAGGGTGGTCCTAACATGCGGCCCCGGCGGTTATATCGGCTGTTGCAGGTGTCTGCAGGGCGGATGGGCCCCTGGAGTGGCTGATAAGTGGTAAATCTCCAAAGCTGCCATTTTTTTCCATGCTGTCAATGTATTTTGGTATCCTGACCCATCCTTTATTTGAACAGAAGTACGTTGTTAAATGTCCTTAGTTGTATACTTACACCTCTATAGCCTCATTCTTTGCCTGTTCAAGATATTACAGTACTGTTTACGATTTGATCTGCCTTCCTGTTCCCCAGTTCTGTTGTCTCTGTTCCAAGGCCCATATTTGGTATAGGAATACTAGATTTCATCACCTAAAACACATTTTGACTTCTCTTATAAAGTTTCATCCAAATGTTCCCAGCCCTTTCATGCCCAGCCTTAATTCAGCCAAGTATTCTAACCCTTGTCTTTTCCAGCCCTGCTCCAATCAAGAACCTATTTCTAAAGTCAAGCTCTATTTGAGCAACCAGTGAGTAGTTTCAGACAAGTACTTTCAGACATGTACTGTCTCTGAAGAACCTCTGTACCACATTCTACCGTCTTTCCTCTAGTCAGTATTTTGTAAAATATAGTCTGGCATGACAGTGGTTAATAAGATGAAAACTCCAGGTGTTATTCTACACCATAAGTACAGTTCCAAAACCCCTGGATCAAAACTTTATAGTTTAACTTTGAGGCATTGCAAGGCATTGCTAGGCTTGAGTACAATGCAGAGTTTGGTGACCCTCCATGGCTCTTCTAAAAAATATATCCCATAACCCTAGAGGACCTACCACATAATTCCTAATTTTTACACTTTAATAAAGTGACAAAAGATGGGACACTCCAATATTCCTTATACACCTAAGCAAACTAAAGTGTTCTAGAAGTGTTCTTTTGACATATGGGCTGTTGGAGCTCACATTCCAGGCCTACATATTGCTTTAAGCCCAAGTTGTCTTGTTTCTGTGAAACCTCCAGGTGTCCCTAGATATTGTTGTTTCTTCTATTGTAGCCAAATAATCAGTGAAGCCTCTGGTAAGAGCTATATCTAGCAGAGTTTGCAGGAACGATGTGCAAATGTCTTTGTCTCAGGGATGAGCATAGCCACCTAGTGTCAAATGCCAGAGCACAGCAACTGCATTTCAGCCAATCAGTTAATCAGGAGAGCCATGCAGAGCGCGAGAATCCTGATTACCTCAGATTTTTAAAATTGGGAAACTGTGGATGGTTAGCTCATCCCACGAAGCACTGAGAATATATATTTACCCAAAGGATAGAGAAATTTAATTAAACATCTAAACCAAAAAAGCAATTCAAGGACCCAATAGTAAAGGGGAACAAGAAAATATTTAATAAGTCGTAAAGACATATGAGATGGACTTGAAAACTTTTACATAATGCACACAGCTAAACAGATAACAAGGCAACAATGTATAATCTTAAGAAAGTATCAAACAGGCACCAAAACTGGAGCATCATAAATTGCAGCAAAATAAGTTTTCAAAGATAAATAAAATGTAAGTCTATGAAAGCAGATGCTTTACGCAGGAAGCCAATGAGAATTTCCTATTGCAGATACTACTAGCATCCAATCTTCCTACTCAGGTGGATTCTTGGTTTGTTGGTCTTGTCTTGGAGTACGGTTATAGCCTGTAAAAAACAGAAAGCAGTTAGAAATAGGCTTAATAACCACAAGGCAAAACCCTTACACTAGAGGAGGGTGAGATGGGTGCTATTGCTAGGTGGTTATACGCATCCCCAAGACAAAGAAAGTTTGCAGATCATAGATTCCTACAAACTCTGATTTATCCTCTGGGAGGCATAACCACCTAGCAAACCTAGTGGGTAAAATAGCACACACCTGGTGGTGGTCCTAAAAAACTGAAGGCATTCAACTTCTTATGGCCTCCAGTAATTGAGTGGCCTTTGAACACAGAAACATCAATACCAGCCAAAGACATGGCGGAAAGTATCCAACCGTATTAACCTTGGCTGGACGAAAGGGATTCCTTGGTGTAATAAATAATTGACTGATCTAATTTCTAAATGCAGCAGAAAGGTCAAGGTATGATTGTAACAGAATAACTCAACATAAGCCTGGTTCAGAAGGATCTTGAACCAAATGCAATTCCACCAGACCTGGGTATATATGGGATGTTTTTTGTCTCCCTATTAGTATAATATGGAACTGGAATAGTGCATCCATTTTCCAAGCTCCCGTTGTCCAAATCCTGGAGACAAATCTGGGCGTTTGTGCAGAAGTTTGGGATGCAAACAGATTTACTTGTCTCTGGCCAAAATTTCTTTATAGCCATTGGAATAGAGCAATCTTTAATTGAATCGTTGTCAGAGACAAACTCTGGCAAGAGAGAGAATCTGCAAGCTCGTTCACCTCTCCCGGAATGTATTTTGCGTAAACCCGGTAACTGGTTTAGAGGAATTGGACCCTGGAGAGTTAATTTTATTGCTCTTAACTCCAAGATGTTTATATGAAGGTGTCTCTCTTGGTCTGAACAGATTTCTATTATTGCATTTTGGGCTGTAAACGAAGAATGAGCAAACGTTCTAGAAGAGGAAGGAGAAGGACTATCTAACCTCCAAGGAGATTTGCCCTTTTTCTTTAGAAGGTGTTTCTGGTGCTCAAACAAGGGAAACACACTATTCCTCTTTTGGGATCCTGTCCATTTAATTTTGCGCTTACTCAAATGAGTATGATGGGAAGAAGGAGCAGAACATTTTTCATTAGAAGAGGAAATGGTAGAAGAGACCAGCTACCTTTCTTTATTATTTTACGTAAAACTGGGACCATATCCTTCTCAGAAGATGAAGAGGATAGACCCCTGGCAAGGAAAGTTCTCTTATGGAGCTTTCTAACATTGATGGGGCTGCCTCTAACAGAGCCATCCACTAAATCTGTGGCAGACACAGATATGAAGTCCTCCAACAATGATGCCATTTTAAAAATCTGAGGTAATCAGGATTCCCGCGCTCAGCACGCTCTCCTGATTACCTGATTGGCCGAAACGCTGTTGCTAGCTTTGCTAGGTGGTTATGCCTCACAGAGGACAAAAGGTGCACTCATAGCTGAGTACAATCAGACTGTAGCTTTAATGTCATTCTTTCCTGATTTATTAGCATACTCACTCTCTTATTATAGAAATGTAATCCATCCCTTTACTGTGCTATGTAAAAGGTCCTGCTAACGGCATGAAAATATGATGAGATGATAACATATCCTTGGTGCAGTGTGTCTATACTCCCTTTCATAGAGCACCACTAAAGACATGAAGAAAGAGATAGTTTTGTTATAAACAACCACAGATATCTTCTAAATGATCACTCAGCACATGTGAGTTACCAAAGTCTGAAGTTCCTGTTGTGATTGGTGAGCTTCTGAGTGGAGTCCTCACAGAAATCAGTGGGAACTCATGCATAATCTGGGGACCAGTGGAGACTTTGCTTGGAACTTTCAGTCAAATATGAGACAAATATTCTTGATCCATATTAAAGATCCAATAGTGTCTCTCAACATTGCAGGATCCCAAGTAATAGAATTATTTATTTCTGATAAATATAATTTAATATACTTCAACAGACCAATGCAAGGTTTGATGAACAAATTCTCAATTTACACTACATTGATTCGATAAATTAAAAACGGAAAGGAGGACCACGAGAGTCCTAAACAGGAGAGTAAAATGAAGAGGGGAAAAGGGGGTCCCTACCTTTTAATAATTCTAAAGATACACACAACAAGACAGGTGGGAAGAAATATAGCAAAAGAGAGTCCTGCAGGCTAGACACAGGAACCAGTTACTAAAAAACTGCCTGCTAAATGTCTAGGATCCTAAAAGGCACGCCCTCTAAATCTTCCCAGAACAGGGACCCTAATTGAAAAAGGGGGGGTAACTAAAGAAATAGGGAAAGGGAGCAAATGTAAAGGGAGGTATCCCAAGGAGTAAATATGCAAAAAACTCCTATAAAGGTCCACTTGCCCTAGTTACCTCGGCACTGTGATGAATCACCAGTGCCTACCAAAGAAACTCAGTCCCTGCCTGTCAAAAGTAAGTAATAACTGATAAAATAAATTAAATTAAATCAATCCATCAGTGCTACCAAAAAAGTGCAAAACAAAGAAAATAAAATAAAAAGAAGCTCGACGCGCGTTTCAGCGTTTCAACACGCCGTCGTCAGGAGCAATAAACTTTTGGAGTTCCCTGTAGCGATTTAAATACACCTTGTTACAATCTATAAGATGAAAAGCAGCTGTTGTGTACCACGTGTGTTGCCGACAATACTGTTAGCTTATTGGTCCGCTACCTCTTAGGCCCGCCTCTTGTCCGCCGCGTCATATGACGTGGTCTTAGAATGAATGAAGGGGCGTCATAATGAGGTTTAGACGATGTCCACATGAGTTGATTCATCCACAGGATTTTTTATTATCCGTTACAATATAGTTTGGAGACTTTATTAGGATACAAAACTAAAGGGGGGTTTACATAGTGATAACGATATGTAGTTTACAAGCGCCCAATGCGCATGCGCACATATCGGTTAGCAATTGGTCCAATGCATATCCCTCCTATCCATCTGTCGATTGGATCTGACACTTGTCAGTCACGTCGTAGGACGTGATACTGAACTGAATCGAGGGACATAATGTTTAAATAGTGCCCCCATAAGACCCAAGTCGGATGAGTGATTCCGTAAGGATTATTAAATTGGTAGCAATATAATGAGTAAAAGTCCCGTTATGATCGCTGGGTTATTAATAGTAGTAATCACCAGTGGATGATTATGGGCTATGGCTGTCCATTGGTCCATTGTCTTTAAAAGTCTATCCATCCGTCAGATACAATCCTGGCATAGGTAGGTGGATAAAATACAGGAAATAACTGTGAATAATGCCCCTATGGGGTCAACATGAAAATATACACGAAATTCCCATAGATAAAGACCCATTATGGACCGCTAGGTGACAATATGATCTTAACATAATTAATTGAATACCCTGGTGATGTACGATCTTAACATAATAAATTAAATTGAATAAATAAATATCCTGGTGATAACTAATACTGAGTAGTATAAATTGAAGATGCTCAAATGTTGCCACATGATACACAATAAAAATTTAATTAGTAAATATTAACCATATACCCTGGGTATATATGTCCAAATTGTGGACATAATTAAAAAGCCTAAACAGATCATTACTATGATATATGTATATTAATATATTGATGTAATAACGGAAGGCTGATTAAGACATTACAGTAAAGGCTCGCAATCCAAAAAAAGTTGATGACATAAAGTCCAGGTGATAAGCATTTGGGAACAAAAGAAGTTTTGCAAAATAAAAAGATCATAATAGTGTGTTCATTAATAATGTAATATATTTAATCCATCGGGGGACTAATGAAAATTTCCCTATAAATTGTTTATATCCAATATAGAGAGAGAAAATAGAGAAAACAGAGACAGAGGAAAATATGTCGAGAGATATGGCAAATTAGAGAAAAGCGGTAAAGGAAAAACCCTCATTTAGGCCAGCAGGGGAGAGGGTCTTGAGCCTGTAGATCCAATAGGATTCACGTTGTCTCAGTTTCTTATCCCAATCGCCCTTACGTTGAGTTTGTGGGATATGTTCTATTCCCATGAACTTTAGTTTGTTGGCAGAATTCAAATGGTGAATTCTCAAATGACGTGAGATTGGGGTTTCTAAGGGTCTTCTAACCGAATTTACATGTTCCCTAATCCTTAGTTTGAAAGGTCTAAACGTTTTCCCCACATATTTAACGCCACATGAACAGGTAAGTAAGTAAATGACGCCTTCCGTCCTACAATTGATAAACGAGTGGACTGAAAAGGTTTCATTATTACTGCTGTCCGTAAATTCCTTAGATTTTTGATCAATAAATTCACATGCGCTGCAGTGTCCGCACCTATACGTCCCCTTGGGCAAATAGTTTTGAGACCCTCTTTTAGGGGGGGATAGATGGCTCTGCACCAATGTATCCCGTAGGTTTTTGCCCCTCCGTGCTGTCACAGAGGGAAACATGGTGACTACCTGTTTGATTTGTGGATCAGATGTTAGGATTGGCCAAAATCGCTTCAGTGTACCCATCATAAAGTCCCAACCTGCATCATACGTGGCAATACATCGGATTAGTTTTTGATCTTGTGCTTGCACCTTAACATCTGTTAAGAGTGACTCACGTTCGGTGCTTATTGCTCTAGTGTACGCTCTGCGTAACACTCTATTGGGATAGCCCTTATCCTTGAAGGCTCGCCTGAGATCCCATGCCTTGACTTTGAAGTCATCTATGGAAGAACAGTTACGCCGCAATCTTAGGTATTGCCCAATTGGTATACCTGCCTTTAGGGGTTGGGGGTGATGACTATGCCAATTTAGCAGACTATTGGTGGCAGTATGTTTTTTATAAAGGGTGGTTGAGGCCCTTCCTCCGGACATGGTTATAGTAATATCCAAAAAATTAAGTTGTTTGCCGCCTATCTCGCTAGTGAATCTTAGATTCAGATCATTCACATTAAGGAGGCTTACAAAGGTCTCAAAATCTTTTTTGCTCCCTGTCCATATGACCAGAACGTCATCTATATAGCGTTTCCAACAGAATATCATCTCCATGAAGTAGCTCAAATGTGGGGCTGATCTAATGAGATTTTCCCAGGTCCCCAAATAGAGATTAGCATATGAGGGGGCACAGGAAGTCCCCATAGCTGTCCCCCTAATTTGCTGATAGATGGTACCATTAAAGATAAAGATATTTCTTGTAAGGACCATTTTAAGTATGTTGGAAACCAAATCTGTGTATGCGACTGGAGTGTGCAATTCATGTTCAAGGATAGTTCTAATATTATCAATTCCTTGAATATGTGGTATGGAACTATACAGCGACTCCACATCCAGACTGCATAGAAGTGCTTGTTCCGGTATGGAGATATCCTTCAGGAAATTAAGCATCTGTTTCGTGTCCCTTATGTAAGAGGGTAATTTTGCAACCATAGGGTTCCCACTTCTATGCAGTCTGGATGTGGAGTCGCTGTATAGTTCCATACCACATATTCAAGGAATTGATAATATTAGAACTATCCTTGAACATGAATTGCACACTCCAGTCGCATACACAGATTTGGTTTCCAACATACTTAAAATGGTCCTTACAAGAAATATCTTTATCTTTAATGGTACCATCTATCAGCAAATTAGGGGGACAGCTATGGGGACTTCCTGTGCCCCCTCATATGCTAATCTCTATTTGGGGACCTGGGAAAATCTCATTAGATCAGCCCCACATTTGAGCTACTTCATGGAGATGATATTCTGTTGGAAACGCTATATAGATGACGTTCTGGTCATATGGACAGGGAGCAAAAAAGATTTTGAGACCTTTGTAAGCCTCCTTAATGTGAATGATCTGAATCTAAGATTCACTAGCGAGATAGGCGGCAAACAACTTAATTTTTTGGATATTACTATAACCATTTCCGGAGGAAGGGCCTCAACCACCCTTTATAAAAAACATACTGCCACCAATAGTCTGCTAAATTGGCATAGTCATCACCCCCAACCCCTAAAGGCAGGTATACCAATTGGGCAATACCTAAGATTGCGGCGTAACTGTTCTTCCATAGATGACTTCAAAGTCAAGGCATGGGATCTCAGGCGAGCCTTCAAGGATAAGGGCTATCCCAATAGAGTGTTACGCAGAGCGTACACTAGAGCAATAAGCACCGAACGTGAGTCACTCTTAACAGATGTTAAGGTGCAAGCACAAGATCAAAAACTAATCCGATGTATTGCCACGTATGATGCAGGTTGGGACTTTATGATGGGTACACTGAAGCGATTTTGGCCAATCCTAACATCTGATCCACAAATCAAACAGGTAGTCACCATGTTTCCCTCTGTGACAGCACGGAGGGGCAAAAACCTACGGGATACATTGGTGCAGAGCCATCTATCCCCCCCTAAAAGAGGGTCTCAAAACTATTTGCCCAAGGGGACGTATAGGTGCGGACACTGCAGCGCATGTGAATTTATTGATCAAAAATCTAAGGAATTTACGGACAGCAGTAATAATGAAACCTTTTCAGTCCACTCGTTTATCAATTGTAGGACGGAAGGCGTCATTTACTTACTTACCTGTTCATGTGGCGTTAAATATGTGGGGAAAACGTTTAGACCTTTCAAACTAAGGATTAGGGAACATGTAAATTCGGTTAGAAGACCCTTAGAAACCCCAATCTCACGTCATTTGAGAATTCACCATTTGAATTCTGCCAACAAACTAAAGTTCATGGGAATAGAACATATCCCACAAACTCAACGTAAGGGCGATTGGGATAAGAAACTGAGACAACGTGAATCCTATTGGATCTACAGGCTCAAGACCCTCTCCCCTGCTGGCCTAAATGAGGGTTTTTCCTTTACCGCTTTTCTCTAATTTGCCATATCTCTCGACATATTTTCCTCTGTCTCTGTTTTCTCTATTTTCTCTCTCTATATTGGATATAAACAATTTATAGGGAAATTTTCATTAGTCCCCCGATGGATTAAATATATTACATTATTAATGAACACACTATTATGATCTTTTTATTTTGCAAAACTTCTTTTGTTCCCAAATGCTTATCACCTGGACTTTATGTCATCAACTTTTTTTGGATTGCGAGCCTTTACTGTAATGTCTTAATCAGCCTTCCGTTATTACATCAATATATTAATATACATATATCATAGTAATTATCTGTTTAGGCTTTTTAATTATGTCCACAATTTGGACATATATACCCAGGGTATATGGTTAATATTTACTAATTAAATTTTTATTGTGTATCATGTGGCAACATTTGAGCATCTTCAATTTATACTACTCAGTATTAGTTATCACCAGGATATTTATTTATTCAATTTAATTTATTATGTTAAGATCGTACATCACCAGGGTATTCAATTAATTATGTTAAGATCATATTGTCACCTAGCGGTCCATAATGGGTCTTTATCTATGGGAATTTCGTGTATATTTTCATGTTGACCCCATAGGGGCATTATTCACAGTTATTTCCTGTATTTTATCCACCTACCTATGCCAGGATTGTATCTGACGGATGGATAGACTTTTAAAGACAATGGACCAATGGACAGCCATAGCCCATAATCATCCACTGGTGATTACTACTATTAATAACCCAGCGATCATAACGGGACTTTTACTCATTATATTGCTACCAATTTAATAATCCTTACGGAATCACTCATCCGACTTGGGTCTTATGGGGGCACTATTTAAACATTATGTCCCTCGATTCAGTTCAGTATCACGTCCTACGACGTGACTGACAAGTGTCAGATCCAATCGACAGATGGATAGGAGGGATATGCATTGGACCAATTGCTAACCGATATGTGCGCATGCGCATTGGGCGCTTGTAAACTACATATCGTTATCACTATGTAAACCCCCCTTTAGTTTTGTATCCTAATAAAGTCTCCAAACTATATTGTAACGGATAATAAAAAATCCTGTGGATGAATCAACTCATGTGGACATCGTCTAAACCTCATTATGACGCCCCTTCATTCATTCTAAGACCACGTCATATGACGCGGCGGACAAGAGGCGGGCCTAAGAGGTAGCGGACCAATAAGCTAACAGTATTGTCGGCAACACACGTGGTACACAACAGCTGCTTTTCATCTTATAGATTGTAACAAGGTGTATTTAAATCGCTACAGGGAACTCCAAAAGTTTATTGCTCCTGACGACGGCGTGTTGAAACGCTGAAACGCGCGTCGAGCTTCTTTTTATTTTATTTTCTTTGTTTTGCACTTTTTTGGTAGCACTGATGGATTGATTTAATTTAATTTATTTTATCAGTTATTACTTACTTTTGACAGGCAGGGACTGAGTTTCTTTGGTAGGCACTGGTGATTCATCACAGTGCCGAGGTAACTAGGGCAAGTGGACCTTTATAGGAGTTTTTTGCATATTTACTCCTTGGGATACCTCCCTTTACATTTGCTCCCTTTCCCTATTTCTTTAGTTACCCCCCTTTTTCAATTAGGGTCCCTGTTCTGGGAAGATTTAGAGGGCGTGCCTTTTAGGATCCTAGACATTTAGCAGGCAGTTTTTTAGTAACTGGTTCCTGTGTCTAGCCTGCAGGACTCTCTTTTGCTATATTTCTTCCCACCTGTCTTGTTGTGTGTATCTTTAGAATTATTAAAAGGTAGGGACCCCCTTTTCCCCTCTTCATTTTACTCTCCTGTTTAGGACTCTCGTGGTCCTCCTTTCCGTTTTAAGTTTTCTTATTGAGGGTTATTCCCTTTTTTGGGAGAGTAATTTCAGGACTTTATAGCACTCATTCATCGGTCGTAGTCACGACCCCTGAATCAGAGCCACTACTTCTTATTGATTCGATAAATAAATATCCCCCTCCCCCCCCTGCATTTTAGGTAACCGTTATTTGTAACCAACTGTAACCAAACTCATCCTTATCCCTGTCTTAAAGAATGTTTTTGAGATATTTTCTAACTAATATTGTAGGAGAAGGTTTCCTCTGCCATCATCAAAGCTTCTAGAGCAGGGTAGGAAGACAAGAGAGGCTTTCACAATGTTTTTTGCCACGTAGGAGTCTGGTCATTTTATAGAAATAGTTTAGCTATGATTTAATTTATTGAATTAATATAAATAACCATTTTGAATAAATATTCTCTTCTTATTTATATGAATTCAATGTGTAAAAGTGTACATTTACTTTCAATAAAATATATTTTCCATTAAAAAATCCCCATGTGTACACCCTAATAAATTGTGCTGCCACACTGTTAATTTTTTTTTTTCAATTGCCATATATTTTATAATGTAATTTAACATACAACTTACTTGTATATTATATTAAATGGCACATTATATACTAAATAAACATCTTTTGGTTGGCCTAACATTGCAATGTCATTAAATTCCTTGGGGTACTTTTTTCCTGTAGGCTCTTCCTTAGCGCTTGTGTCTAAGTACATTTATATTCGGAACAGGTTTACTTTCTTGACTTTAAGGTGACATTTGTCTGAGCAACATGATAAGAGAGTCATTTTTAGATGTTATTCACAAAAAAATGTAATGATTTTGATTTTTATAATGGTTTTAATATCTCAACATCTTTGTGGAAAGCAAAATGATTTGTTAGAATTTGTGCTGCAATAAAAGGTTTGTAAAAAAAAATGTATATTAAAATTAAATTTCTATATAAATGATTACATCTCTTTTTTTTTTTTATCTACACCAACATTTATGTTCTGTTTTATTATGAAGAATAGTGAAATCTTTCTACCTAGTTTAGCATCTATAGTAATAGGATAAGTTATGCTTACTTGATGAGATAGTGAAGAAACACAACATAAACTATATTGTTTATATGTATCTCCTAACTATGACTCCTTTTTTCTATTAAGTACTGTATATCAAAACTTATAAAACATTGTATTTCACTTTAATGAGATAGTATTGTTTATAATTATCCATGGTAATATCTGTGCCTCAATATGTTACTGATCGATGTTGTTTGTAAAATATGTTGACATAATACAATTAATATTTTTATTAATAAACTACATGACAACATTAAAGATTAAAAATATTTCTTAATGTTTTACAATCCAAAACACATTTAAAAGTTAAACTCATTCACAAAATATAAAATTAAAAGAGACTGTAGTATACACTAAGTATGGCTCAGAGAAGAAAACCTAGTCAGGGTGGTAACTAAAATATGAATTCAAACTGAATTCAAAGTATATTTCAAATTAAATGCCAAAATGAACTGGAAAAAAAGTCCTCTATGCTTCCAGTTTTTCAGTTTGAACTGCAATTAGTTCAACCCCCTTAAATATGTTTTCAGTAGCCTCCACCCAATCCATGGGTGGGGACTAGAAAGGACATTAGATAACGCCTCCAGTTATTAAATTAATAGCCCTCACCCAATGACCAGGTTATTATAAAAGTAAAAGCTCCCATCACTGCATTTTCCCACTTTTTTCTGTTTAATAGCCCTCACCTGCAGGTCACATGTGGGGGCGGGAGGTGGACAGTGACCTAAATCTGTGTTAGTGAGCATTTCTCCTTTGCCGAGAAAATCCATCCACCTCCCAGGTGTGGCATATCAAGATGCTGATTAGACAGCATGATTATTGCACAGGTGTGCCTTAGGCTGGCCACAATAAAAGGCCACTCTAAAATGTGCAGTTTTACTGTATTGAACGGGTCTGGGGGAGTCAGAAAACCAGTCAGTATCTGGGGTGACCACCATTTGCCTCACCCAGTGCAACACATCTCCTTCACAAAGAGTTGATCAGGTTGTTGATTGTGGCCTGTGGAATGTTGGTCCACTCCTCTTCAATGGCTGTGCGAAGTTGCTGGATATTGGCAGGACCTGGAACACCCTTTAGAGTGGCCTTTTATTGTGGCCTGCCTAAGGCACACCTTTGCAATAATTATGCTGTCTAATCAGCATCTTGTTACCACACATGTGAGGTGGATGGATTATCTCTGCAAAGGAGAAGTGCTCACTAACACAGATTTAGACAGATTTGTGAACAATATTTGAGAGAAATAGGCCTTTTGTGTACACAGAAAAAGAGTTCAGCTCATTAAAATGGGGGAAAAAACAAAAGTGTTGCGTTTATAATTTTGTTCACTGTAGAAAAGAATATGTAAATAAAAATGTTTAAATTCATAAAAGAATGACTAAATAGAAAAATAGATTGGGGAGAAAGGAAAAAAAAGGAAGGTGAAATAAATTAGAGGACATTAGTTGAATTTGGCATTCAGACTGTTAAAGTGTGCTTCGATAGAGAGGGATTTTTTAAAACCTTTCATTGTTACGGCAGTGTTCAGCAATATGGGTTCTCAAACATCTAGAGGTCATACCTACATAATGGTGTCCACATGGGCATTCCAGCAGGTAAATAACATCTGTGGTGGTGCAAGTGATGAAATCTTTGATATTGTATGTTTTATTAAAGGAGCACTATAGGGTCAGGAACACAAACATGTATTCCTGACCCTATAGGGTTAAAACCACCATCTAGCCTGATCCATTCACAATGCTTCCCCATAGGATTGGCTGAGACTGACAAAGAGGCAGATCAGGGCCAAAGCCAGCACAATTCAAACACAGCCCCGGCCAATCAGCATCTCCTCATAGAGATGAATTGAATCAATGAATCTCTCTGAGGATTGTTCAGTGTCTGCATGCAGAGGGAGGAGATACTGAATGTTTGGATGCATTTTAGGCAGCCATGACCCATCTGAGGAGTGGCCAGTGAAGTTATCACTAGGCTGTAATAACATAGCATTTTCTCTGAAAAGACAGTGTTTATAGCAAAAAGCCTGAGGGGAATGATTCTACTCACCAGAACAAATTCAATAAGCTGTAGTTGTTCTGGTGACTATAGTGTCCCTTTAATCATATTAGAAGTAAACTGAGAGGTTTTATTTGTGGAGGGGCCAAAAGATTTACAGTCAACACATTTGTACATGAAAAAAAACAGTAATGTTAGATTATTAGGTTATTATGCCTGGCCCAATTTTCTTAAAGTGAAGTTTTAGTGAGATGAGTTTTTAGGTTATGAGCCTACCTAAAGATGTTAGGTTTATCCGGAATGATGTTTTTAAATGTATCATATTGTTTCAGTATGGGTCAATGTTTGTTCATACTTTTTTATTGGTTTATTTTATTACTAATGTCATAGAAACATAGAATGTGACGGCAGATAAGAACCATTCGGCCCATCTAGTCTGCCCAATTTTCTAAATACTTTCATTACTCCCTAGTCTTATCTTATAGTTAGGATAGCCTTATGCCTATCCCACGCATGCTTAAACTCCTTTACTGTGTTAACCTCTACCACTTCAGCTGGAAGGCTATTCCATGCATCCACTACCCTCTCAGTAAAGTAATACTTCCTGATATTATTTTAAACCTTTGCCCCTCTAATTTAAGACTATGTCCTCTTGTTGTGGTAGTTTTTCTTATTTTAAATATAGTCTCCTCCTTTACTGTAAAAAAAATATCAGAATGTTTGGAGTGCTATTATTGGTTTAGTCTTATAGTTGATACATTCTTTTCTATTTTTTTTTACATTTCTAAAATGTTTTCAAGTTTTTGTTTCCATAGCTTTTGTCTAAAAAATAGTTTTTTTTATGGCATTAGCTTGGTCATTAAAATCTTTGTTAAACAGCAGTTTTCTTCTTAAATGTAGGACTCCAGATATATATTACTGCAGCTTTCCAATGAAGCTCAAATTATCTATACTAGAAAAGATTATTACAGAATATATTATTCTGTAATAATAATCTCTGTTTACTTATCCCAGTAAAATGTCCATCTTGATTTTTTTTTGAGTTCTGATCACATTATCCCATTAAGCATAACTAATAAAACAAGGACAGAAAGAAGGGCTGGTTTGGTTTACTTGTAACAATATGAGTATGACCAGTTACTAAATTAAAAGGGTTGTAAAGGTTGCGGTCGGGCTCAAGAGAGGCTGCGGTCCCCTTTGCAAGACCATTATTTAATTTATTGCCAATACAGCAATTTATTAAATAACAAACCATATTAGGGAGCGTGTGGTCTGCGCCCTTTAAGTGCTCCCTTTCTGCACTCAATTAATTAGTCATAGCTCACAGGTTCCCAAGGCAACACATTTTATTCACTGATCACAACCGAGAGGAGCAGTTACTATGGTTGCATACACCAGAGTTGCACATGACATGCTCCCTCACTGAACCACCAGGAATCTCCAAAAATATACTAGGGATTCTCAACATATTGACCACAAATCAACAAAGCAGAAAGATAAGCATGAGAGGGGGTTACATTTAATAAACATGTGGGAGACTAAATTCACAATACATCATCCCTACACTTATCCCATTCAGGCAGAGCCACATACATTCCACTCAACACATATCCTACACCACCCTCAATCACGCACACACATTTCCCTCTCACCCAACTTCACACAGATTCCACTCAGACAGACCCACATACATCTCACTCAGTCAGGCCACACATATCACACTCAGCCAACCCCACAGATATCCATCTCAGCCATCCCTCTCAGCCATCCTCACACATTCCAACCAGCCAATCCCACACAAAGCAGTCATCCAAGTCTACCTACGTATATATCACACTCAGCCAACACCACCCCTGTTCATCTATTCTTGTCTTAAATCCCTTCTAATTACAAAGCCACTTACCTTTATATTCCAACATGTTTTACTTCCTATGCATGTGTGAAAATCTGTGTGCATGTGTGACTATGTATGTGTGTGATTTTGGATGAAGAACAGCTCTTTATTAGCATAATGTTTAATACTTTCATACAATATAGAGGCAGAAAATAATTTTAAAAGCGGCTAAACTGTGGTATCCTGCTGAGTCTGAGTTGAAACGCATCAGGCTCCCTGACTGACTTGTTTAATTATAGCAGAAACAAAGAAAAAAACAATGATTTTAACATAGAAATGTTTGAAAACAAGAAGCAACTTGTCATATGTTATTACACTACAGTGATATATGATGTGCTCATAAACTTGTCATTGATGGAAATATTGTTATCAACTGAATGCAAAGAGAGAGGAAAAGAATAGCATCATGACAATCAGTAAAGCAAACATGTATAGAAGTACTTTTCTAATAAAACATTTCAATAGTGATACATGCACTAGATAACACAGATTGCATACTGCCAACCATGTGGTCATGATTTATTAAAATAATGTGTATATAATAAAAAAATAAAAATAATATTATAGTTCTTTATTTTTGTAGTGCTTAGGTCGAGAGATGTGCACTTTTTGATTTAAATCAACATTCAGAGTTAAACTTTTATGTCTAAACGCTACAAGTAGGGTTTTATGGCATTATAGAGACATTAATATTACAAGCTGCATAGTAATAAAACAAGCTAGAACAGTGACATATAGCTATATGCTTAATAGCCTGTAGTTTAAAACGAGTGGTAGCTATATCTCCATGAAGGTAAGTGATTAGAATGACCACCACCACATCATGATTAAGGTGGGCAAAATCCCTGACACATTCTGCATTCTGTTTTTTAAATAAAAATAAAGTAAGTAAAACAAAACAAAAAAGATATCTGCAATTGCGTAGGCTCAAACACGACAAGAAAATGCACACTGCTGTGCCAGCATGATTCAGAGGATCAGCCTATGCCTCGGCTTGGTAGCTCCACTGCATCAGGCCATGAGAGTGACCCCCCTCATGCATGATGAGGAGGCCCGTGAGAGTTCCGCATGAGGGTAAGCCCTGTGGGTAGTTGGACAAAGACCTGCCTGAGGTGCAAATTGAGTTTCCGACCCAGATAGTGAGGCACTGGTCATTCTGTCTCTTGGAGCCGAACACTTCATAATTTCTGCAGCTTGGGTTGATTCTGAGTGTCAGAACTGAGAGCAGATAATGTCCCAAGTGGCATAGGAGGTCTCCTTTCATCTCTCCACTGCATCCTGCAGCAAGACCTGTGGAGGTGTGCTGGTCGCCGCCATTTTGAGGCTCTTGGAAATTATGTTACTTCAGGATGTGAAGGCACCCAGTTTGGTGGTAAGTGTCAGGAACTGTAGTGGTGGGACAGGGATATCCGCCACAGGTCCAAAGGGGGGGGGGTGAATGGGGCTCTCATATAGGCCTGTAGGACCCCACTGAAGAGGTCGGCCGCAACTCCCAGTCAGAAAATATATATTTTTTAATGTCCACTTACACACAGAACCAGCGGTATTAGTTTGTTGGTGGTGTTCCACGCTAGCAGATAGTGAGTACAATATTGAAAACAATGAAAGGAAAAAAAAATCTGACTCTCCGCTCTTGGTAAGGTTAAAGTATTCTTTTTATTTCTAAGACTTTATATTTACAGAATTGGGTGACTGCTCTTTTTTGTCCTTTCAATGTTACCTCCAATATACCATCAGTCTGATTAAAACAATTAATTTATTTTCTTGATTGGAGGTTAATATAAGTTCTTATTTCAAACTCAGAAATTACATTTGTCAGGGGCTCTTGATATTTCAAAGTGCCCTCTCTATTTATGGTGAGTGCTCAGACCCAAGATTGAGGTGGGTGTACTCATTGCATTTGAAGTTCCTCAGACTCTGTTTTGGTCCCAACTCATAATTTAAACTTGGTATTCAGTGAACATCAGAAGATTGCTGTAGAACATCAGAAGATTAAAGAGGGGTAAAAATTGCAGTCATTCTGTAAAATACAGAGGAACAGAATAGGGATCGACAGATTATTATCGGCCCATATTCCAATTTTTTTGTAAGTACTGGTATCGGCTGATAATCACCAGTAATACCGATAATGAGGTGGGCCGATGCATCAATAAGGCAGCACAAGTGGCCGCCTTAGGGCGCACTGGCCCAGGAGGGAGCTATATTGGGTGACCAGCAGGAGGTGGGCGCACAGCACTCCCTCCTGCCAGGCACTCTGTGTAGCGTGGCCGTACGGAGCGCACCGCAGTACAGGAACATATGTTTCCTGTACCTGGCCAGACTGAATGGAAGTGCTAACTGAGAGAGCACTTCCTGTCGGTCCGGCCGGGTACAGGAGACTGAATCTCCAGTACTGCGGGAAGCAAGACAGGGGAAAGTTACACTTTGGGAGAGGGGAGGGAGGGAGAGGGGGAGGAAAAAACACTATGGGACAGGGGAGGTGGGGAGGAAAGAACACTATGGGACAGGGGGGAGGAAAGAACGCTATGGGACGGGGGAGGAAAAAACACTATGGGATGAGGGTGAGGAAATAACACTATGGGACAGGGGGGGCAGGAAAGAACACTATGGGACAGGGGAGGGGTTGGGAGGAAAGAACACTATGGGACAGGGGAGGGGAGAACACTATGGTTTAGGGGAGGAAGAACACTATGGGGAGGGGGGAGAACACTATGGGACAGGGGAGGAGGGGAAAGAACACTAGTAGGGAGAGAGAATAACGTTAAGGGAGGGCACTAAGATACAGTGAAGGGAAAAGGAACACTGGGGTAGCGGGGGGGCACTAAAAGATAAGGAAGAGGAACATTATGGGGGGGGGAGTTCCTACCGCACATATTTACACACAAACACACTGCATCCACTACACAAACACACTGCATTCACTACCCACACTGGATCCACTACACAAACACACACACACACACACACACACACACTGCATTTACTAATTAAATACTCTCACTGCATCCACTACATACACATATAAATATTCTTAAAAACATTAAAAAAAATCTGACTGGCATGTATATTTTGTGCATTTACCACTTAAAAAAAAAATGATTTGCAAAAAAAAAAATTCCCCCCCAAAACGGTAAAATGTTTTAAAAAAAATAAGTTTAAAATTATGTACAAAAAAGCAGTACTTCACATTATGTTAATGTACAAATAAATATGGTACACATATTCTAATATTGGTTCTTTAAAACTTCTAAGTAAGAGTATGACTGGGACATATTACAACGATATATTTAATCTTATAAGGAAGACAGCGCATTATAAATACAAAGCATATAAACACAAAGCATATAAACAATGTTATCATATGGGGCTGGAATGACTTGATTTAACAAGAATGTATTTTTTAGTCAAGGTGTTATAATCTGCCCTAAAGGTCTAAATAAGACTGACAGTTACAATGTGGAGGAGGAATGTTTAAAAAATAACACAGCGTGTCCGTTATAATAATGTCCGCAGCATTCTGTTCTCAGCCTCGGAAAGGATCCCTGTGTTTACCTTCAGAATCAATATTTCATGTTCACTTCTAAATATTATCAAACGGAAAAACATGAGGAACCAGCCTGATGACATTTTATGCTCATGTTTAAAAATGTCATATGCAGGTAAAGCACCAATTTGACATGGTGTCACACGTAAAAATATCTGTAGCTCTATAAATTACATGGGCTGAAATAAAATTTAAAGTGACTGAGCGCAAAATATTACTTACAAAGCACATCTTAAAAATGTGCTATTTAATATAGTGTGTATTGATGTGCAGTGCATCTGAGCTGTTATTAATATCTCCGCAATATAGTATGAAGTGCAGGACATTCATTAAAAGAGTTGTATAAATGGAATACATTTACACTGGCAGTTCAATATAGTAAATTGATTCAAGCTAGTAATGTTTGTTTTACATGAACTGGAACATCAGTCAACATGATTTTCAGGGCAGATGTTTTTTTTTCCATTTTGGTTTATTTATGTAGCATTTATTACCTAATGCTGATATTCAGCAATATAATTTTTTTTCTGATTCTTTTGCAACTAATCATACATAAATGTCCATCTCTCCAAACAACATTTTAAAAAACAAATCCTTCCATATCTTCATTACGAATTAACTTTACATGAGGTTGACTGATTCCAACCATTACTTGTAAATTAAAGGGACACTTAAACATCATAGCCAGTACTATTTGTTGTCTTGATTTTGGTGCAAGGAGTCTATAGGTGCAGTACCTCCAGTTTTGTTTAACATTTTTGAGTATTCAGAAGACATGATTTTACTGGCGGCCAAACCTTGCCTCCTATACTGCGGCTAAAATAGAGAGGCATTCTATTTCTTCTTTAGTTGTCCAAATTTGTCCAATGATAAACTGGAAGGGCATTGGTAGACAAACCAATAATTATTTCATTAGCTATCTAAAACAATAAGTCCATGTAATAATACCTATCATACATCAATGATTGGGTGG